CTCTCGAGCCATCGTCCTCAAACGCTATTGTCAAACATTCCTGCGGGAACATTATATAGGTCATCACGATAATTCATAGATGAAGGCACACGAACGTAACTTCTTATGTCGCCACTGACGCCTTCACCGCACGATCGCAAGAAGAAGTCCAAAGACGAGCCGGATGGTTGGCGGTATCCGGTTTCGGATTTGCCTGTCACTGTGGCCAGCCACAGGACGCCTGCGCCTACAGAGGGACCATGGGTGGTTTGCGCTGCACCACCCACAGCTCCAACCACACACTCCATATCCAGTGTAAACCCGATGGAATAAGACCGGGAGGCATGTGGATGGGAGCCACGTTTCATCAACGGAGCCGGTCCACACTCCTTCACAGACAAACACAAGCACGGTGTATTTGGGGAATCAAGCGCACACAAGGCGGTGGCTGGACCGTAGTCCGCTCCACACTGAGTGCATGGAACCACTCTTTGATCCTAACATGGCCACAAGGACCGTGCACCCCGTCCCCTCCAGCAACGACCAACGGTCTCCTAGAGCCAGTATGGACGAGGTAGTGGGTAATATACAGGTAGGCGCCTTGTCAACATGCGCTTCCAGCGCAGCCACACTCGGGATATCAAGTAACAGCCAATCACTTGTATGAAAGATAACAAAGAAAACAAATCGATTAATGCATAAGGAAACGGTGACCTAAATCTTAAATTAATGGGCATAATAAACAAATTGTCTACAAATGAATGCGAGATAGGTTCACGATGTCAGAACGTATACTTTACGGAAATGCCACAAACACGAAAATGTTACGGAAATAACAGCAAGCGGCTTAAGCGACGTGTGCAAATGTATAAAAGAGAATATAACTAGGCATTTATATGGGAAAGAAAAGCATTCGGGCAAAATTGAAAACCCACCACCTGAAATAAAGCGACTTACCATGATAGCACGCGGTTAGTAAATCGAATCCAGCGTACTTACAAACGCTGCGCTGGTTCGGCCTACGTTCTCTGCACAACCCGTCGGCGCTTCGGTAGTGGTCCCGAGTGGCCTCGCTCATGGCTCACTAGGCCTGCCTGACTCAGGCACTCGCGACCGCATGTGCTACAGCACCATGCACTCGATGCCGATGGAGTACAATCCATCGGTGCTTGCCGCTTCTGCACTTGCCGCTTTTTCTCTGCATGCATGAGGGCTTTCTCCCGCACTTCAGCAACTGTCTTCGTGATCAGATCGCGCCATACGCGCCGATCAACCGCTTTCGATTCCCATGATCTGCAATCGCGATTAGAACGTGACAGGCTCACATTGAGCATGTCCTGGTAACGTAACTTTGGTTTCCCCACGTCCCGCTTCCCAATACTCAGCTGACCATATAAAAGTTGTTTCGGTATCCGACTAGTATCCATACGGCTCCCATGACCGACCCACCTCAGGTGTCTCAGCAAAAGGATGCAGTCCGTTGCATACATCCCACTTTTTCGCAGCACTTCCGGGTCAACAACTCAGTCACCCCAAACGATGCGCAAAATCCGTCGCAAACACGGTTGAGGGAACACCTCGAGATATCGCAATCCGGAAGGTACATCGTCCACGTTTCACTGCCGTATAGAAGAACGGACAGTACCATGGATTTGTACACCATCAGCTTCGTGCCAACGGTACTCTAGCTTACCCAATGCCACTGCTGCCTTCGCTACTCGGATATGAAGCTCACTGTGTAGCTGCTGATCTGTCGACATCACACTCCCAAGGTAGCTGAAGCGGGAGACGGTTTCCAATACTTCATCCGCAATGCTGATGCGCGGCAATATTGAAGATTGCACCTCAGGTGAAGGCTGAAAGAGACAGACAGTTTTACTTGTGTTGATGGTGAGCCCAAATTGTGCCGCTGTCGAAGCCAGAACACTAGTCATGTGCTGCAACTCATCCGCGCTGTGTGTAAACAACGCACAGTCATCAGCAAACAGCAACATAGGGATAGTTGCCTCACAGACTAGAGTTCTCGTACCGAAACGACGGATGTTCAGCAACCCACCATCAATACGGTGCTTCACACGAACACCGCAAGCACAAACCGTATCAGTATCACAAGACATCATTGCATGAAGAGAAATATCAAACTGGCGGTAGCTAACTCACAGCCTTGCCTCAGACCAAAGCTAACTGCAGTCATCTGAGGTCTCTCAATTCAGCTGCATCCTCGCCCGCATACCACTGTGCAGATATGCTATTGAACTTACAAACTTACTCGAATAACAAAACTTGCCCAACATCAGCCACAATGCATCGCGCTTCACCGTATCAAATGCCTTGTTGAAATCAACGAAAAGTGAGCACAACGACTGGTGTCCTTCTCTGCACCTCTCTTTCAACTGATGAGTCGGAACCACCATATCTATAGTGCTGCGAACCGAACGAGCCGGAAAGAGACTTGTATACATGCAATCACATTTGCTTATATAGTTTTGAAGGCAAAATGAAGGGAAGCTACTAAGTTACACTTGAGCCAACCAACAGAAGGATAACGTCAATTGCAACGCGCGAATAAGCAACCGTGTAATCGAGTGCGAATCGCATATATCCTTAAAAATAGTATCATGGGACCCAAGCGTAAAGCGAACTTCCATTTACAGTGACGGGCACTGGCCAATCAGAACAACGAAATGTAGCGTTTAAATACATGTCACGAGACAGAGGAGAATAGGAAGTGCAGACCCAAAAATTAACAACTAGTACAATAATTGTGTGACAACGACCTATTCCTTTAACATAACCGAGTAGAAAAGGGATGCGGAGAAAAACCAATGGATGGTACTCTTGCAAATAGCAGTGCTAACGATGACACAGAGATAGGCGTCCATTAACAAGGACGTGTGTAGCAATTGGGCTAACACAGTGGAGGGTTTAAACAGCAGTCAAGAGGTAGAAAATAAGGAGAATAAAGTATGACCGTTAAGTGAAGGTCAAATAGCCATTCTCCTAACACGACCTCCCACTTTACCTGTGTTTCAAACAGCATTGACGTTTCCCTAACCCACCTACATTACGAGATATAGTCTGTGTCACGCTAGACGATATTATGTGACGAAGTTGCACAACCAGAATTAACCTACACTATTGAGTTTGGCTCTTTCTGCATGCCTCTGTGATAACACTGGGATTAGTCCACCGAAATGATTTGCATCTTATTGCTGTTTTCTATTCAGCATGTTGTGGTTCTCATTCTGGCCATCCTACGGCACTTGATAAACATCCGCTCTTTTACCCCTAAAATACCACTGTCCCACTGTTCCAATGCACCATTTTCCTTTCTTCCTTTGTCATCCTTTAAGTCTTCTCGGTGACCATACAATGTCATGTTTTGCCTGGCAAGCAACCTGACGATATCAAGCACCCTAGCTTGAATTTTACCCCACCTCTTTTTTACAAGTGCCAGTTGCCTTTTTTATCAATTGTCTTTCCTTCAAGTGTCTGGATCGATAGCTACATGAGGTTGAGGAGTACTGAACAAGCTTTTGGATTTAGTTTACACCAGTTTCTGAAACCCACATCAGACTAAAAAATGGAGTATCTGGTTGACAACATCCTGCAGCCGAAACAAAACACGGCCTATTCTGAAGGAGAATACACCATCCCTGTTCGCAATCTTTACCCATCGTTTCGCAAATCCCGATCAAAACAATTGGTTCTTAACGTCTTAGCCTCAGCTTTCGTATTCGTGATCGACGTGCTGCACAAGAGTAGATCCCAGCCGGACTACCATAGCGAGATTTTCATGGCCATTCTTAACAGGCAACCGACAGACAGCCATACAATCGGTTGATGTGTGTTATCGTGCCAAATTGTGGCTGAATTTTCAATTCTTTAACTTTGTGCGCATATTCGGTATCAGCATTACAAATATTTCCCAGCTGCTTCCATGCTGTCAACGTCGCTTCCTGCTGCTCGGACGTCAACCTTTGCAGTGCCAATTTCATTTTCAGATTCAGCATGATTATCATGTTTTATTTGCCACTTCCCTCATGGAGGTACTTTTGATGTATTTACTTTTGGTATTGTATAATCATCCGTACAAAAATGCCGTCCGTGGCTGAGTCCAGCCTATGCTACGCCTTTGTGACGCATTCTCCTTCATTCAGCTCACCGGAACCGGGGCTGGCAGCAACCGCTGTGCACATGAGTTAGTCTTGGGGCAACGGAAGGCAAGCCCGCAAGGACAGTGGAGACGGACACAGAATCAAGCGGGAAGAGACTGCAGAGTTAACAGTTTCGTGCTTAGCGAAGGGACCCAAGTAACACAATGAATCGAAAGGTGGTCATTTGGAAGTACTTGCCGAGTACATAGATTACGGCACACGATCACAATCTGAAGCGAGTTTACCTTTATCGTAGAATTTATTGCTCTGTGATGTTGGTCAGGAGCGGAATATTCATGGCCACTGAATTCACCAGGAATCTGAAAAGAATAGCGTTGACTACCTAAAGGTAGCAAACTACAAGATGGCTTTTTTGAATTTCGTCTAGCCAAGTGAGACAAGACGAAGTCAAACGACCTGGTAGGTTGAAGACACCGTTGTAATCAGCTTTTGGTAGTAAAATTTTCCGTAAATAGTGGTGAGGTGACAATGTCACACCACACCAAATGAAACCTATCATACCATGACTGTTTACTTACGTGGATTCACATCCGATTGAGTCCCGGTACACACACCAGTCCCACTGTTTGCAATAGCCATATTCTTTCGCATACAATACGCCCTGAAATTACTGAGAGATCTGGAATCCAAAATACCATTCTCCGATTTCGTTACTGTTCAGCGTGATTTCGCTGTGTTGGTTTCCACTACATCCTAGCATCTAGTATTTCGTTCTAAGGAACCCGAGGAGATACCATCAACTTATGCTCCTATTGGAATTAGCGGGTTCTAACTGGCCGAATACCTGCAGTAACGAATCCTGGCATCCACAAGCGCAATATATTTCAACAGTGTGTCCTTCGAGAAGAATATAATCTGCCTTGATTTTGGGGACTGTGGAAAAATTAACGGTGTCAAGCTTTTCATGCAAATGAGCGATATGAAAAAGCCGAAACTAGTATTAGTAACACGCTCCACCTTGAAATACAAGCGGTTGCAATGTTGACATGCAGTGGAGCCTCTAACCAATAGGGATGATGTTTCCCTACACTACAGCTAACCCTATGAGTTAGCGTTACGGGCTATCCGCATAGACAGAGTTCCGCAAAAGTCCTCACCCACTCGTTTGAGAAGCAATATGTGCACAGGTTCCACATGTAGGCGGTTTGAGATGAGCATATTGCTTATCACATAACCTGCGCTCACTGACCTCCGCAGAAGTGACCATAGCTCGCGTAGTAACATCCTCGAACAGCTCGCTTTGGAACTGTCCGTATGCCGGTCTAGATCGCCTTAGAAGCCGCCCAAAGAACTTGGGTGTTGTAAAAACGCTACCCTCATCAATCCTGAGAAATTTATGTCAGTGGGATGACAGTGTGATCACACCGAAATTTATTCCAGATAGTTCTAACAAACATTGCAGAAGTTAGATCAGCGCTGAGTTGAGGGTTAAGTGAGTATTCCGCCTGGACTGTCATCTGGCCGAGCTACACCGCGATATTCCCTGACATAACTACCTTCTACTTGATGGAGTTTCTTTTCTTTTTTTCTTCTACCTACTTCCTTTCCGTAGCCGTTTCGGAGGGCGTGGTGGGATGCCACGCTTTGAGCCGGCGTGCATTCTGTTTAAATGCCGCATAAGCCCGATGAAGATACGGCTAACATACGAGTCCAACCCGCTATAAGGTTGCTTGGCCTTTCATCAGACCGGACCCGAACTCATTTTACCCTTTGGGTCATGTAAAGCTCGAGCTTTTATTCCCATTAGACACAATCTTCCAATGTACAATCTATTCGCCAGAACGTGGGTCCTTGCGCCGCATTCAGTAGCATTGTGATTGGACAGATTCACCACCGCTCGTCTCCCACACCCCACCCCCCACATGTGCGGTGTATACTAGCCACTCTCACCATCACAAAACCACACCGCAACTAGTCGTATTCTGATTGGCCCGTCTTCGTTGGTTATAAAAACCAAGTGAAACACCATCCCGACGGCAGGTCGCAACTCAAACACAATGTGGCCATCGCGTCCTATGACCGCCGCCCGGTTGGAAAGCGTTGTACATCGAGTTGCGACGGAACAATTCAATTGCGATCACAGGTTGAACTGTGGTTCCAACGAGACCATGCTTGTCACACAAGCACTGCCTCCTTACAACAGAGGACCACCGGAACAATCGGCGATGAACGCTGTACATATCGCAACAGGTGGCGAGTACCAAATGGCCTTACAACCGCTTTGTAGAAGGGTGGGAAATGTGGCTGGTCGCGATCCTCCTTACGTTCCCTTGTATGAATCTCCGCACTCAGTGCCCAGTGTGCACAGCATGCCAGATATCGTTTGTGCTGCACAAAATGAAAGGAGCGGCCATCCTGCGGCTGTTATCTCGTCCTTTCTGTGCTCCACCAGTGAGCCGGAAGCCGACGGAAGTGAAACCAGTTGCGCTGATTCAAAATTTGACACGCGAGTAAAGAGTGATGAACCAGGGGAGGCCAGCGACAACGAATCCGGAAGCCAATCGGACTCGGATGAGGTCCAGTTGTGTCAAGTGAGTTCAAGGAAATCTGTAACTTTCGGATAAACCTGTTACAATTTGCCTACCAGCAAAAGTTTCCGACTTTCCGTTCGTAATTAAGTTTGAACTCAATGTTCTGTCTATAACTCCACTTACATTATCGTTCGGATTGTCACTAGTGTTCGAAGTGCGGCTACTGTGTCTCAAGATTTGTAAAGCTGCTGGTCATTGAAAACGGGCGGATGAACTAACAAAAGTCCACTCTAGTAAGTCCGAGTACAGACTGCACCTGACAAATAGATTGCCTCTACCCCTTAGGTACTACATCAAGTAAAATTTGCAACATGGTTATTCTACCAGCTGGACATCGCCATACTTCAATCTGGGTTAGCTGTTGTTTGCAGACTACTACTGTGTAGCTCGTTGGTATTTACGATTACAGTTGCCGTGTTGAGGTACGTAGTGGGGGATTACTGAAGTTACCTACCACAGAAGGGCAGGGACACAGAATCACTCCACAATGTACATTTTTGTTGAGTGAGTACGGACTGGGCTGTCATATCTACACAGTACCTTCGGTTAAAATCCGTCTAAAGCATAAATTTGGAATTAACTTTTGCTTTGTTTCTAAGCGGTCATTGCAACTTTGTGAAATGCAACTTCAGGTCAGAAAATGAACCAAGGCAATTAAGAAGCATGGCAGCTGTGGCTTTATGATCTGCGATACAGTGCAACCTTATGCCTGTATCTACATCACAGAACCCAAAAGTGCTATGCAAAGTGTACTATAAAATGTGCACTCAGTCGATTGCATCCAATCAATGTGTAGGCAATGCGCTTGAACAGACGACAGTTCTAATCTCTACCATCGCAAAGGAGCATCCCGCATATGAAAAAGATTCGGAATATAACCAGCACTCAATGCCTTCCTGTATTAGTTACTCCAACAATATGAGTGGAAGAACAAATGTGGAACACTATACGGATCTCTCCAAGGTTTGCGACCTCTGCTTACCAAGCAATAACTCTTCCGTTGCTCCGTTGGCCTCAGTAGTAGAGTGATGCATATAAATTTGGCGACCGTCTTCTCCGATTCAGATTTGACAACTACCAATCGAGTTTGCATCGGCCGCTACACAGAGCACAGTGATGCAACAACATTTCTTATTCAGAAGTGCTGGGGCTGGCCTTAACGCAGTTTGAACCCCACTAGTGCACTCTGTTTCGAATACTCACCACGGTGTTGTCAGGCACATACTTCTGCTAATCACATAAATGTGTCCATCGTGCTGTTTCAGTATACTGTGGAGCTGTTCACTATGAACTGAAATCACGGAGCATAGCTAATGACAAATGATCTTCAGTCGGTTAGCCAATGGCAAAACTACAGAATGGCTGGACTTCGCTTCCCCGATTTGCAATGCTAATAGCTTATATTGAGTTTTTTTAGCTTCATTATTCCAAGTCAAGCAGGTACAACCGTCCTCGTTTGAAGCAAGTCTACCGAAGCAGCGCGCAAGTATAGTGTCCAGAATGATTGATGGCTCCGTTAAATTCGTCGGAAATCGCGTTATCCCTACTCAAAGGCCCCTAGTACGCACTGCGATCTGCGACGGCAATGGAAAAACTAAAACACATTGAACGCAGAAAAGAACTCATTAGAATATTCTGTTGCTTAAAGTTGACATAAAGCAAGGTTTGCTCAAACCATTACGCTTCCACTCCATGTGAATAGACATCCCAGCTTGAGGTCCACTTTCTCGGCCGTTCGTCGGCGAAGCAACTTGGGATTTCATGTTGAGCGCGGGTATATCAGGCGGCTGGCATCCACCATTCTGGGCGACCTCCTTTGGAAGTTGAGTTCACCGCAATTGGGCTAGGTTGAACGGATACGACATGTGTGGTAGTGCACCGGACGGTCCCTACGCCCTTTTGGAACTCGCCAGCAAGTCACGTTTCATCTACCACGCGAGGTACGAAGCCGCGGCCTTACTCTTAGAGAGCAGTGATTGAGAATACTGGGCTACGGAGAAAGGTAGCAACCGATATGGCTAGGCAACTTGTTACGATATAGCGCGGCGGTCTCCACTGATTTGGACGTTACTACCATACATATGTAAGAGTATTCCCCCATTAGACTGCGCAGCCCAAGTCATCCGCTAACTTAGGAAGCTAGACTGGTTACAAGTGTGACGTGATGTTTCAGAGAGTGAACGATTGTGTACTGTGAACTCGCTATTCGTTTAGCTAATCAACACAGACTTTTCGGCCAGATGAACTACAGGTATACTGTACACACTTCGGTCACACATATTTCATTCAGCAGCAGGGACACACCTAATTCAGCAGTACGCATTGTGACAAATGAGTTCACTTCAAACGATTGACATAGCCTCCAAGTAACAGTGCATTTGGCCGAGATCGTTTTTGCATGGCTAACTCCCTTACTTTCGGCAATTGGCACCAAGACTACTAAGAAGTAGAGGACAGTTGTAAAGATTCACAGGGAAGATGATCGTTACGGTGTATTCACGGACACACCGACAAAGGTGCTATGAGATTCTTGTAAACGGACTTCACCCAATCCGGTTAGCGTACTGGCGGTAGTAAGCGCAGTGTGACAATCTAATTTGTGAAGTATTTGTGGGTCTCATCTGGTCTGGTTGGACTTCCACAGCTTTCCATCCCAAGCTACCCGGGGGTTTCGAGCATTTGTTTGTAGCAAATGGTCCGCTGTTTAAATGGTACTCTCTTCTGTTCCGTAATGAGTATTCTGTTTATCACAAGCATCAGGTGTACGTGACTTAAGATAGCGACAGTTGACAGATTCCCAGTAGTGGAGCAAATCGAGATACCGTGGTCTAATTTCAGTTTTCGACTGAGAAATTTGATAAGGTTAAACCCGAAGTGGGCATGGTATAGGCCAACTTGGTGGCAAGCTTGTTGGGAAGTTAGCGATAACCGTGGTAACCTGATGACAACATCTGATAACACGAAGATGAGAACATGTAGCACGCATCGAAGCATCGGATAAATCACCGGGCTTACAAGATGGAAACAAGTCTACATGCTTTCTTCCATAGATGCCCGCTTGGTTTCCGGTCTGCTTCGACAAAGTTATTGCGCACGTTGTGTGGGCATGTCCAAGCACATGATCACCTTCCCTTCGTGTTCGCACTTGTCCAATTATGATACTACGTAGTTCGACGAGAACTGGCTGTGTGTGCTCACTTCATCGCAAATTCAAGAAAATTTAGGTTCTCCCAACAGACCCAGTGTAGTATGGTTTATAATTAGGTTGTCACGCTGGATCAATCCTGTGAAATTGACCAACAGCTAGGTTGTCATGGCGATAGAGTAGGCAAGAGTGAATCTGTCCAGCCTATCTATTCACAACATTTTCTACTATCTTCACATTACAGGTCTGCGGAGACAGAAGTAGCGGGAAACACTATGGTCAGTTTTCCTGTGAAGGCTGCAAGAGTTTCTTTAAGCGATCCGTACGCAAGTCGGCCTCGTATGTGTGTCGCTCGGGTGGACAATGTCAAGTGGATGCTCAAAGACGAAACCAATGCCAGGCGTGTCGCATGACGCGTTGTCTTATGGCAGGAATGAGAAAAGACGGTAAGTTGGCCCCCATTCTTAGTTAGAACATCACCTCATACCTTTGTATAATGATGAATGAATTGTTCATCTGCTCCATTTGTAGTTCGTCTTTGGTGTGATGTCGGCTGATAAATGCATTTAAAGATAGCTTATTCGTTTCTGGAATTGTTCTTGATCGATTGGTGAAAACGTACTGCCCCATTGTCAATTGGTAGACAACGCAGCGCAACCACCCTTCCAAAAGCAATAGCCTACTTTAGCCAGAATACGAGACGGTCAGCCAAGGACATGCTTGCTGTTTACAAATAATTGATACCCTACGTTACCAGTTCTGTCTGATGACATGGTATCAGAACCAAAGTTCAATGCAATTGGTGCTTTTCAACTGCCTCAAAGGGTTCCAAGCTTAGACTGTGGTGGTACGTTTGCTTCGACCACAGGAGGAATAGGAGCTGGTGTGTCACGTAACGTGCTGGTGCTCGGCCCTTCTTAATGATATCGGGGTTGAGCGCTTCACACTGCTGGTTCGCTGTTTGCAGCGCTATGTGTGTTTGAGGTTACTAAAATACATGAAAGTGATCAGCAATGTGTAGCTCGAGAGAAAAGCAGACATTCGATCAGTTAACTGACAGCCGCACTCGTCTAAACTTAAAGTGTTCATTGTAAGGCTTGGTGGTTTGAATTTTCAGTCATTTCGCAAAAATTAAGTATCATTGGACCAGGATAATCAGAGAGGTTAGTGATAGCGACATACTTGAAATCTTACGGAAACGGGTCTTACGAGGCCAACCATACCGACAGCTCCTAACACTAAAACGCATTGGTTATTCGCGTACTGACCAGTTTGGTGAGCCCGACAAATTGGTGGCAAAACCTCAGTATCGAATTCCCCCCATTCACTGAATCACTTATCTTGGCAGAACAGTGAGGTGAGATAGAAGAAGAAGTGTCATAACCAGCTGTTCTGCTACCAATAAGGACGCAAAAACAGTAGCTGTTTCCTTAGGTTACACCACAATGGTGCAACAAACTACATCGGCTCGCACAGCGTGCAGTGGTTACTCGCCGAGATCGGAAAGACAGGCGTTGGGTACCTGAGATCAGCACGAGTACCGCGAGGGCATAAATTGCTTAATTGTAAGCTATTAACCAGAGCGTACATCGCCATTGGTTTATACGGGAGATTTTTCTGTTCAGCTTCGATGTGCCCACTGGTACAGTAACACCACAATGGGTTTCCTGCGGCCGTCGGAGCACAAGTGTCCCGCCCACTCAGTTGCCAGGCGAATTTAACCGGTCTTTACTGGTCCAGTCGGGTTAACCAGATCGGTAAAGGCCTGAGGCAAATTAGGCGGACGTACCCCGCTCCCGGTTGATGTACGAAAGGGTGCCTTGTTTTTTCCACCCCTCGATAAAATCGACATTGATTCGACCTAACAACCACCGTTGACGTTTTCATCGAACGAGGACGCTATTCACCTGATGCATGTGAGGCCTCAAGCTGCGGGTTCCAAATGGGCATATTATGAAACTGGGCTGAACAAAATGATGGTGGTTAGGGACGGGAAGCTTGGGGGAGGGGGTGGTTGGCGTCACATCCAGCTGCTCGGTGCCAATCTTTCCACATGCCGTGTGCACGCAGGGCGGTTACAAAAAACCTTGGAGCTTTTCCCACTGTGATAGCGGGGCAGCGTGTGAACTATTGCACCGCTGTTGCAACCAGCATCGAGGCGGATTTGACCGGTATGCACGTAGGTTCGGTTCCAGACCGAGGAAACATCCACCAAAGTGGCTGACGCCTGGGCATTGTTGTGTCTCGCTTATACGTAAGTAGGGAAGCGAAAATAGGCTTTTTATGGCAACGACTGGGGTTCTCAGATGCTCATGGGGCCGAGGTAAAGCCGATGGAACAGCTGCCTGCAATACATCGCCAACAAACAGTTTCGAAACCTCAGCTGGTAACCGCAGGATTTTCCATGAGGATGCCATGCCGTATTCGGCTGAGCACGAGGCAAAGCCATTCCGGGTTCTGAGGATGGTAAGCTTCTCAGCACTGATACACAGAGAACGATGCACTACCAAAGAAATTACTCCTTGTAAGTAATGGGAGCTGTGTTGAATCATTCATTAGATCCAATGACTGCCTTGTCTGTGCTGCGTTTTTCTAGTCTCCTTAGCTCTTCCTTCTCCCAAAATGCCCCTGTTGTTTTTGTGCACACTATGGAACCCTAAGGGCTACACGATCAACCGCTGCTTTCTTGGCATTCGTTAGGTTCGCGAGCGACCGAAGTTAAAACAGACCACGGTTTAAGTCTTCGAATGCGTCAGTACTTTATCATTAATTTGTGCCGGGATACTACCAGGTAATTGAACCGGCGTAAAAATTTTGGTGCTCACTACATTATCAGCTAAGGAGGTTTTGTTTCTACGCGCTCACAAAATCCGACAGATGCATGTTGGATGTATTTTTTAATGTATGGCTCTTGCAGATGCCAGGACTAATGTTATTATGCAAGGGCTCAATTGAATTTCGAGTCCAGAAGTTTAAATCTCACCGGGATTGTTAAACAACATGACTTTTCTACTGTGTATGGGATCGAAAATAGCCACTGCGTTGCCACTTAGTTACTGACAATAGTCAGGAACCAGGAAAAGGTAGATGAGGAAATAGTATAATCTTGGTCGACTAGGAGAACTCGCCTGAGTAACATCGCTCTCAGCATTTCGAACAAGGCAGCGTATGCCACTGATTGTTCCCAACGGAATGCCGAAGAGAGGGTGCAACAGCGTTTTTGATATTGATCCCTCCCATCTCTGCATTTCACAACTTGATTCGTCTTTGTTTGGACTTAGCAGGTAGAGATAATGGTGCGTGACAGTGGAACCTGGGAGGTATTGGTCAATTACTACTTCATTTGTCACAGGCTTACCATTTTGGCAAAAATTAGTCGTCCAAATAAATCGTGCGAGTCACTATTCAAATGCACTGTGGGTGCCCCGAAACACCTAAAGGCTGCTTCTAACATTCCGGTCCCATTAACGGTATCTGTCCCTGTGTACAAGGCGGAGGGTTGGGTCCATGTCCTTGCAATGTGTACACCAGTGGTAATTCTGCCTAGGTAGCGGGGGAAGGGGCATTCTGAGTTACGCAAAGAGATGTGTTATGCCTAATCCATTCTGCTTCGACGTGCAGGCACCTGTCGCACAGACTTGTCCCAGTGGATAGTGACCTCCTACCGTATTTATTTGAACAGCGTAGTAACTTCATCTACGGTTCTCATTAGAGCAGTGGTTCTCAACTAGGGGTAATTTTTCGCAAAGGAGTAAAATGGAATTTTAAGAGGTGTACATATAAGTATAAGGATTGGGTCTTCAAGCTGTTGCCAAACCAAATTAAAAATGAGATCATCTGTATAAAAACATATAATTGACTACCTAATCGCCACTGATTAGCCATCAATGACTAATCATTTGTGAGTGATCAGTAACTTGGACAATTTTCGTCAAAGTTTATTACCTAAAGAACGAATAAAAGCCTGCAAAGCAATGTAGCTAAATGGCGTCACTATACGCTTGGTCGTCGATCGTTGTTCTTTTGAGTCAGACAGTTGTTCGCCGGGTCAAATTACAGAGTTCACTGAACAACAAGGTGGGAGCATACGTCAGCCGACCAGGTAAAGGAGCGAGCGAATGTTTACAAAATAAGCGAGTAGTGTTCAGAACGTATCGACACAGTAGTGGTGGGTAGATGTCATCCAGTAAGGAGTCGAAAGGGATGGTGGAAACAAATAAGATGCCACTGACATCAGTTCATGTTCAGGGATCACACACCAAAGCAAGGAACCGAATGAACTGGGAACACGACTTACGATGTGCATTAGCCGAAACCGCACTAAATATACCAGAAACTGTTGTAACTAAGCAATATCAACCGTATCATATCACCACTTTATTATTTAAAAAGTTGCTCAAAAATAGGTTTTTTCTTTCTTTGAATGATTGAAAGTAGTCAAAAATGGTATTCATTTTCCGTAATTTAAAGCAGAAATGCAATAGTTAATTGGTTTTCAAATTAAAACTCTTGTGGGGTAGTTGTTTATAGTGAAACCGATTTGTGGACAACAGCCTCAAAAAGGTTGAGAACCACTGCACTAGAGGGAACGAGCAGCTAGTCGAACTTTTGTCTGGATCATACTGTGCTTAAAGTTTGGTACTTGTCCAGATCTATGGTCCGGTGTTCACGACGCCCACACTTGGTGCATCCCTCTTGTGCAGCGCGAGTAAACTGTCAATAACGAACAATGAAAAAGCCGGCGAAACTCACACACACTCAAAGCATGTAAATAAATGCTTGTAACTACCTTCGATAATTCCTTTTGACTAGAGTTCTAGAGAATGGGACAGCGCTGATGCAAGTTGCATTAAGAAAATATCTTACTTTCGTCACGAGGGCTAAGAAGTAGGGCTGCAGCGGTTCGAACACACACACACACACACACACACACACACACACACATTTCTATGCCTGTGGGAATATGCTCCTAAATAGACAGGAACACATCTGATGCACACATGAAAGCAGAATATACAATGAACAACAGATGAACCGGGAAGCGCCTCAGGGTCTCCGTTCGACCATATATCGACATTTGAAATCATACTGTTATCTCGAGATTAGTTGAAACGCATAGCTTCATGGACTACATTCTACACTAGAGTGAACGCACAAAGATGGATTAGGTTCACCGTCGTTTAGTCCGTGGATGTGTTGAGAATTGAAGAACAGCAGTAAAGACAACCGGTTGCGACTACTAATTCCATTATGCTTAAATGAGGTCAGATCAATCGAGTTGGCACAACGGAAGGAATAGTATCATATTGTGAGAAGGCGGAAGGCAATGATTGCCCGGAGGACAGAAAGAGCACTAAAACGGGGGCGGACAGAAAGGGGAACAAGCGCAATGAGGGGGAGCAGACGGAGCAACACTGGCCTGACGGAACGAGACGAAACCGGGGCA